AACGAGATATTGTCATGTGTTCTGCGCCTCGCGTCGCTGTCTTTCCGGCACATGGGCTCAATGGCTGATTTGCGAGTTAATCAATTTCCAATTGATGTGTTTTGTTGGTGCGTGTGAAGAGATGACAGCAAATTACATGATAAATTTCTCTGGGTGGCGCGCAAATAACTCTCCCCTGTCGCCCACGCCCTTCACCCCTCACCCTTCGCCCTGATGGGGTGAGTTGATGCAAAATCAACGCTGTGGCGTGTCGTCAAATCAACAACGTCCAGTCGAAAGTTTGCTCAACACACACATACCGCGCCCGGCCCATATAATGCACACATCCCTGGCCATCCTCTTGAGCCGTTTTAATGGATTTCGCTGAAAATCGGGTTGTCCTAATGACCGCGCGTCCAACTCAAGTGCTCCATTCGCATGTTGACAGTTGAGTGAATTAATTGAATTTTGAATTTAGAACGGATTTTCCACTCAATTCAACATTGTGCTCAATTTTATTCTCTCACGCGCTGCGCAACAAAAATAGTAATTAGCAAAATATTAATAATTGATGACTTTCCCATCCATTTCGCTCATTCGTTCAAGTGACCACTTGATATTTCCGCCACGTTCAGCGCATTCACAGTAAAATTTTGCTTTCATTATTATTCTCTGTGTAAAATATCCTGTTTTGTCCCAACGAATTGTAGATTTTAAACAATTATTGTGTATAATTTCCAATAACTGCACAATATATGAAACATTTTCATATTTTGCTGCATAAAATAAACATTCTTGTATTTAAAATCGATGGGTGAATCGAAAGCTATGAAAAGTCAAAATCGTCCTTTGTCAGAAGAGAAAATTGAAAATTTCGCTTGAAAAAAACATCAAAAAATCATTAATTAATGTGCTAATATTCCTGTGTAATAATTATTTTCAGAATGATTCATTTGATTTTATTGATGAACCAAAAATATTATTTTCCAAAGTTGTTCCTTTTTTTTAGTTTTCAAGCACATTTTAATAAAATAGTTGAAAAAAATCAATTTCTCTTTTTTACATAATTTTTTTTTTATTTCTTGAGTGAAAAGATTTAAAAAAATATATGACAAATAGCAATAAAAATCTATTAAACGTCTAAGAACATTTTAGAAAAGTTTAATTGCAATTTGACATGATTTCAAACATTCCTGTGAGACACAATGTAATATTATTATTTATTTGTTCACTCCAGGCGCTTTTTTCCATCTCGCGCCGCATAATTCACTGGTAAACACAATGTAATAAAAGTGTGTTGTTTTGCAAAAGGACATTTTTCTCATGAAAAATGCAAGTAAGAGTTAATCCCTTAAAATAAAACTTCGTAATTTCATCAAGAGTGTGCAATAAAATGAAAATCCGGTGGAGAAATTTTCAAATTACCTCATTAGCGGCGGGAAAGTTTTTAATTGGGAACTTTGAAGGGGTTTTCGACACTTTTTACCGCGCTTTGAAGATGGAAAAGTGCGCCACACAAATGAGTGACATTCATCAATTATTTTTATTTGATTTGCCACCCTGTGAATTTCTCTCGGTCCGCGTCTTGTGCCTTTTGGCTTGTTGGGGCAATTCTTGCTGTCAAATTTCCTCATCATCGCGTCTCAGATCGCGAAAGGACCAAACAAAAACACTCGTAGTGTCTCTCCAACTCACACCGTGTCCTTCACTCATCTTCCTGCTGATGAAGTATTCCTCGGTTGTCCCGAAAAAAAAAAGAAAATGTCGACGCGCGGAGTGTGAGAGCAGAAAGGGATGTTCCGAGTAAATATTTCATTTAACTTGGTGAGTCTGGGGTAGCTAATAAAGGCAGATAAAAAGTTTTCTTTGTTGTTCTATACATTATACGTGAATATTACTTTTTAAAGCTTCTCTGGGCCCTTTTTGCCGGTGGGTGGTGGGGTGCTCGAAAAAATATACAATTAATTATGTTTCCACCCTCATCCATCATGCAGAAAAAAGTCTTCATTCTGTTGCGCGCGCGAGAAGGCATACAAAAAGTGAAAGATGATGGAAGGAAAGATTGGATTTTGCCATCTTTCTTCGCTATCTCACTCTCGTGTGTGGCATGTGAGGCTGCTTCTTGTCGTGGCAGAGGAGGGCAGAGGCATCCGCCCGCCATTTAGGCCGGAGTGAGAGGGAATTAAAACATCTTTCAGCGAGCAACATCATCAAATAGCTTCGAGAGGGAAGAGAGATTGTAAGAGAGAAAAGGGAAAAAAAGGAGGTCTTCAATGGACTTTGACTTGGGGTTTTATGGGTTTGAGACTTTTCACGACGGCGGCACGGCGAGCCAATTGAAAGGGGTCGCTCGGGCTCAATGGGAGAGACTCTTCGTCTCCCAATGGCCCCCAAATGCCAATGAGTTGACCTGTCGTCGGGGAGAAAAGGCGAAGAGATGAGATGGGAAGTGTTGCAAGTTGAGGCGATAGTGAGGAAAGTAAACTTTCTCCACGAGCCAATATTGGGTGTCCACCAATCGCCGTCGTTTCGCCCTTTTTTCGCCAAGGAAAAAGCGCCTCGGCGGAAAAGGTGGAGAACAGTCGAGGGCCCCCGAACACGTGGAGACGGCAAATCCACTGGGGGAATTACAATTTCTGCAAGATTAAAATGTGCGACATGAATATTTTATGATTCATTCGCCTACACAGGCGGCTCTATTTCTATACACACGTCAATGATGCCGTGAGAAAATGCGTTATGAAGTACAGAAAAATCCCCAGAATGAATGTCTTCGCGAACACTTTTGTTTCCAGTCATGCTTTTCGGCGCTCATGAGCCATTCTGTGAGCAGAGATAGTCAAGAGGGGGATAAATTGTCTGAAATTGTGTACACTACTTCCAAACACTTCCAAAACTACCTTCATTTCTTGCATTTATAAGAAAAAAAAATTAGAAGAGACTTTTACTTACATAATCTTACGTAGATTACGAGAAGGAAAATCTGTTTTTAAGCATTAAGAAGCTTGCTAAGCGCCTATTTTCTATGGAAATCTATGAGATTTTGTTTGCAACAATTGTTAAAGTCAAATTTTGGAAATTTTGCCTTTGCAATACAAATTTCTTTACAATATTTCCAATATTTTGTCAAATTAAAGCCTCAGATCATTTTTGGATCGCTAAAAGAAACAATTAGAGAATATTTACGACCCTTTTTAATGTAAAACCACCCGAAGTAAAGGATTTTAGTTGCTCGTTTCAGTTTCTGCAAAAAGTGCTCTTGATTAATATGATACAACTTGCGTGGTTTTCATCAGTTTTCCCGGGCAGTGGCACTATTAATGCAGTTTATCAGAGAAATCCTCCTCGAGAACAGATTAGCGGACGATGCAGGAATTTTCTGTCGTTTTTTCCAGCCGAAGCTGTTATGACGGCGGCAGTCGCCATTCGAAGACTTAATTCTGCGCAGAGAAATTAGAGATTTCTTGTCCTTAATAGCATTTAGAGGTGAAAAATAAATATTTTCGCGTTTCTTTTATTCTATGAGACTGAAAACCATGAAAACCGGGATGAATTTCTCAAATTTGTGAAATAAAATTGAATTTTAGGACACTTCTGAAAAAGTGTACACCACTTCCCACCATATTATTCCTCCCTTGGAGATAGTGGGTGTAGAAAAATTGCGCGTATTCGCGCAGCATCGAACAAGAGATGACACACAAGACGACGCTGTGAGAGGGTGGGAAAAAAAGACACAAACTCTGGTGCAACTCGAGTTGAGAGCAATTTTCATGTTAACTCAGAAGCAATTAGTATCGTGAATGAGTAAATGAATTATTCTGACATCGAACAATGCATTTTTAATTGAGAAATTCCATTATGAGGATAATGAAGTCTCACTAGAGGCGCTTCTTAAGTATTCAAGCTTTCAGATATTTTCCCTATGCCATCCTCAAGACCATCCTAAACCCCATAATTTTCCTGTCTTTATCCTTTGCACAGTTTTTTTCCCTCGTCGCCGAGTTTCCTCCTTGACTTGGGGTTGTGATCACATTAAGAAGTCGTTTAATTATTATGCTGGAAATTTGACTACTCATCTCTTAGCTAAATATATTTTCATAGTCGAATTGCGCGAGTGCATGCAAATGAGAATTGTTCTTGTAAATCAAATTGGAGATAATGGGAAAAGTTGCATCCGGCGAAGAATAACACGGCTTAAAGCCATGATGAAAACTTCAAATATCTCATATACATATAATGGCTAGAAGGAGTGCGAGAAGGTAGATTTAATTTCTTTCGCGTGAAAAGTGTGAAAGTTTTCTCCACGCTCAGGGAAAATTCCACACTATACATGTTGAATATGCGATGTTGTGAGATAATTTCCATTGGTGTTTAGTGCATAAAACTACTTTCACATTCACAAATTACTTGTTATTTCTATCAAGTATAGCGTTTTGTGGTTACTTAACAAGGGGGAAGTTTATAGATTTTCCAGCATGGGTGAGACTTTTGTGGGAAATCCAATATAAACTGGGGGTGTATATAACTGGGAGTGGGTGGAAGGAAGTCTTTTTTGCGATAGTTAAAGCGATACACACACATTTCTGAACGTGATTTGATTTCTGTATTATTTTTCCCGAGCACTTGCCACACACTCAGACTCCTCTGGGGCTCGAGGGGCTCTGTCGGGTGGGTGGGAAACTGATTAGGCCACGTCAGAGGACTTAGGGAAAATATGAATGGAAAGGCTCTTCCCTCGCGGATATGAGAAAATCTTCTTGTGGATCATAAATTCCCTGTTTAACGGGTATTTTTTTCTGTCTCCTCCTTGCCCTTGTTGTTGTGTGTGGAAAAATGTTTTTCCCTTGTTTCCTCTCCGACTCTTCTATGGCTCTTGATTAAAACAAGCCCTAACGAGGAATATTTGAGAATGACTCTGCCACTCTATGCGCAATCGTGTGGAGAAATACTGGGGAAGTGGATGCCTTCCTCGTGACATGAAACACCCCAAAGAGTCGACAGTTGGAGCTTCAACTCTCGCGCCTTTGGACGCATCCTCTGCAAATTACCCAGCAACCCTCTGAGGTGAGGCCGACAGCATCCCCGCATAGCTCGCGATACACTTTTTCCCACCGCCTGAATCGCGGCGTCACATTTCCCAACTGCGTCGCACAGTTGTAAAAAAAAAGTGAGTTTGGGGGTTGTTTTTGGATGGATTACGCGAATTCATAGTGTAATTTGTGGAATAAATACTGTGGAATTGGCAAAGGTCACGAGGACAGCAGATTTTCCGCCACACACAAGGGTAAGTCAAGTAGGGAAAATGGAGCAAAGAAGTGGAAGAATAGTTGGATGAACATTGGAAAACATCCCTTCCTCTCTGACCCACTCTGAGATATTTCCATATAAGCAAAATGAGGCCATTTAAGACATCACTATAGCCAGTGTTGGAATGGCAAATGGCTCTTAGAAAATTCCACTTCGTAATTGTCATGCAACATCCCACAAATGCTTCCATCTCGCCAGTGAAGGAAGTTATTTTCAAATGTGAAGCAATTGGGTGGAGGGAAAGAGAACTTCTCTCCATCCCTGGAAACATTAAATTGTCCTTCCAAATGGACATACTCTGTGTGTGTTCTGCAAGGAGATCGGAATTGCTGGAATTTTGTATATGACACCGTTTGGGTGTACTCCCAAAATCACCGTGCAATTGCGTAAATATCTGCTCAATGATCCGACGACAACGTCGGGCACTTTGGCAAAATAGTGCACAAGAGGCGGAACACTTTTCATATTCTCCTTGTTAGTGGGAAATTGCAATGGAAATTGATTGCTGCAAATGTAGTTTTCATGCAGTTCATCAATGCTTTCGCCACAAATAGAACACGAGAATTTGCGTATCACTTTTATTGGGCAGCAAAAGTGGAATTAAAACTTGATTTTTCACATTCCTCGTGTAAATCATAAACCCAAGGGGGAGATAATATGCCTAAAATCTGTACAACACTTCGAAACACTTCCGAATTTGCCTGACACTTCTAGAAATTGAAGTTTTTAGACTGTTTTCACACTAATTCCCAAATTAAAAATAATCTCTTAAGTTTCCATTCGATATTTTTGCAAAAATCCACTTAAAAACGCTTTTTTGGTATCTTTTCTGATCATAACCTCAAAATACAACGAAAAGATCTTCCAAAACTATGTTTAGATGCTTTCTAGATCACAAAATCATCTGTTATAAGGTGACAACGAACTAAAAATTGCTGTTGTAGAGCCAAAATCATGCAGAAAGATTACTAATTGAACTCACTCTTTTTGAGGTTATGTTCAATCTTATCACAATTTGCAGTGTTTCTTAACATCGAATGATTGAAAAAGCACTATTTATTGCATGCAAATTCTTAATACGACGATTTTTTGGATCTGAATAAAAGAATTGTTGTGCTAGAATGCGAATTATTCACTAAAAATGTCCTTAATTGGTTACATAACCTATAAAAAGGATTATTACGTTTGTTTCTGCGTGAAAATCGGAGGGAATTCAAAAAATCTGAATGATTCGTCATTGAAAGAAGCGCTCAAGATTAGAATTTTGTAGGTTTTTCAACACTTCCACTTCTTAAGTACTTCTGCTGAGCTGTACACCACTTCTGACTGTATTATCTCCCCCTTGGCTGAAACCTCAGGAAATTGTATTTGAATAGAGAAAGTCTAATAAAACTGCCACGGCCATTCGAGCGAAGTTAAAGCATGAGAGTGAAGTTAATTCCTTCTGCAAAAGTGTTTTAATTGACGTCTTCAGAGACACGTTTCTTAATGGGGATTACTTAAAGCTTCTCTAGCTTTCCGGCTTCCGCCAAGAAATGTCATCATTACAATACACACCCGTGGAAATTAAGAATCAATCGAGGGGAAAATGAACGTAGTAAATTCGTCGGAAGAAATTTCACCGCCCTCGCAAGTCAACACGAAAAGTGAAAGTCGAGAAGGGAAATCATCACTTTCGCATATATACTTAAATATATACTTAAACTGAGAAAGTGTTGTGCAGATCATGAGTTGTGGGGTGTGAGAAAGTGGGGGGTTTGTTTGCTGAAAGCTCTGAGCGTCGTCATGAATCACAAAGTTGGGTGAGAAGCTTTGAAGAAAATGACCCCCGAAGAAATCGTGCAATTTTCTCTCTTCAACTCCAAGCTCTGAATGGAAGGGATTTTTATTACCATTCTCATGATCATAGTGACAGTTCAGCAAATCTATCACTTCTCACATTGCATATCAATGCATGTCTTTTGCCTCAATATTGTCTTCAAGTCAGTCAATTTTTATTGAAATTGATGGCTTTCATTCACTGTCTCACTTATATTGTATTCATCTGCCTCTGCTATGCATCGACAACACGATGAGATTTTATTAGCTTCGCCAGCATGACACACAGTACATCTTTCTCTGACATAGACGTGCATTTTCCCGTCGATATGGCTTGGCAAAGAAGAAAGGAAAATAGAAGAAAAACTGTGAGCATTCCTTTCTCCCGTGTCACCCAAAGTACATTCATTTTCCCTCAAATCTCTGCACTTTCGACATGCACGCTGAGACAGGAGACAGTTTGATTGGATATTCCTTGGGAAACTCCACGCGACGCGCCAAGTGATGTCTGAGGAATATTCTCAAGCTGTCGTATCGCATTTTCACCCCCATTTCATCCGCACGCCCATTCAAGAGATTCGCATTTCACTGTGTATTATAACACTGAATGAGCGGCGCCTGGAACAAAGCCTCTTTGTCTGTAATTTTACAAATTTCGCTGCAACGCCATCATGTAAAATAGCAGGTCGTTATGGAGCGAAAAGCACGTCTCATAAAGACATTTTACCACTATTTTGCCGCGCAACTTCTCCAGTGTTCCGCAGTGAAAATGCCTTTTACAATCTTTGCAATCATCGATTAGAGTAAATCATTGTATTGATGCTGTATTATAATGTACAATCGGATATTTTCCGTGTTTCCACTGAATTTCTATGGGCTTTGTTGACCTTCTGTATCACGAAAAAGGTCATAAACAACAATTTGAACAAGAAACGCCGAGTTTAGTGGCAAAGTGCGGTAATTGAAGCGCATTTATGTGTTTTGTTTTCGAAATTACGCTATAGATTTACTTCTAATTTCATTCAAGGGGGAGATTATGTGCCCTTAATCTGTACACCACTTCCAGATCTTGAAGTTTGTAGTCTGTTTCCACATCAATTCCCAAAATTTAAAGTATCTCTTAAGTTTCCATGCGATATTTCTGAAAAAAAAATCCATTTTAAAACCCTTTCTTGAACATCTTTTCCGAATATAACCTAAGAATATCAATAAAAGAGCTTTAAAGACTCTGTTTGGAAGCTTTCTAGATTACAAAATCATCTCTTTCGATTTGCTAATGATCTAAAAATTGGAGATTCACCGTCAAAATTGTCCAGAAAGTTTTCTAAATATACATTTTTAACATTCAAATGACTATTTTTGAGGTTATAATAGATCTCAACACTCAGATTTATAATAGAAATGTTTATTGCATGCAAATGCTTAATTATGCCAAAGACTAGCGATCTTTTGGACTTGAACATAAGAATTGTTGTGCTAGAATGCGAATTATTCACTAAATCCGCTCTTAATTCGTAACATAACCTAGAAATAAATGATTGTGATTGCTTCTGTGTAAAAATCAAAAGAAATCCAAAGAATCGTGATAATTTGTCAGTAAAATAACAACATATGAACGGAATAATGCAAGTTTCTGAACACTTTCACTTTTCAAGACTTCCGCTCAGCTGTACACCACTTCTGACTGTACTATCTCCCCCTTGATTTAATTCCAGCGCGTAAAATCATGGAAATAATTTCACTATTCGTTACGGATGTAAATAAACACAGAGTATTTCTAAAAAGTGCTGAAAATCAATCGGAAACACTGAATGTTGTTACTTTTTAATTGCACTTTGCGAGTAAATTTTGTCAAAAAAAGTGGATGCAAAGTTGAATGCCTGAACCGAATTGCACAATTAAAATTATGCCCAATAAGCACTTGAATCCTAAAATAACCGAGGAGGCATTTAAAAATGTTTTTCATGTTGGCAAAATCACATAAAACTTTGATGGAATTATTCGTGAAAATGCTATGGGAAAATCAACTCTCTCTCTCTCTCTCTCTCTCTCTCTCTCTCGCGAGGCAATTTTCGAGCGGAAACATTTTTTTGGATTGTGTGATATGTTTAAAAATTTACATCGGAATTTTCCCTTCGTTTGTGCATATGTACACTATGCACACACGGAGATGAATTGGGGGGGAAAATGGAAAGTGAGTGTGCGGTTTTGCGTTGGGCGGATGGGGGTGTAAAAGCATATTGCGAAGCTTTCAATTTACATGATAATTCTGTGGCTTTGAGGTTCATTATGACAAATTTCTAATTGGCTTTTGGGACTCATGTGCGAGTGGATGTTTGATGGTGGAAATGGCAGAGAATTCTCGCCATCCTATTGGCAATGGCGTGCCAACTTGAAAACTATTCCTGCCAAGGAAGTGGAGCTTTCGTGGGGAATCTCTCGATGTTCATGAGATGGAAGCCACAAATGACTATACGTGCCTCATTTCTCCCTCCGCCCTTCACTTCCGGGCGCCCCTTTCGCCCTTCTTTTCCTCCTGAAATAACCATGACGAGATAATCCTCTCACAATGCATTACCCCTCGACGCAAGACAACCACCCAGAACAGTGTGCCGCCTCTTGGCGCTGGTCAGCAACTCATGACGAGACTCAAGGGGTTGCTAATATTGGGGATGCAGTGTCACTCGGCTTGAGATGCCCCAGAAACATATTTCCTTATTCTCACTTGATCCCTTTCGAAGTTACAGCGATTTTGCGATGGTTCTGAACAAAGACACAAATATTTTTACACTATTTCATTAACATTTGTTTAGTGCATTTTTTAAAGTGCGGAGAGCGAATTTCTCAGCTGAAAAGCTTGAGAACACAAAGGAATTGATAATATTACTTTAATACTTGACCTTTAATCGGATATTAACGGTTTTACGCAAGGTTTTACGATAAAAACGTGTGCGAAATTGGGAAAACTTCTTAAATCTTTTGCACATACGAGAATCTTTAAATATTCTTCACGAAACTGTGTCTATCAATACGTCATCTGTAGTTGCTAGTACTGAAAAAAATCACATCAAGTGCCCTTTAACCGTTCAATATTAATAAGTTCACCTTAAACTTTACCACAAATTCGTTTTTACACTTGCAAAATACCTTTTTTTTCTTAGATCTTTCTCCAAATGATCTCCAAACCTTTTCAAATATTTTCCACACTTTCTTTAAATTTCACACAGAATTCTCGAGTCCTTAAGATCCCCAACAAACCTTTCTCCACAGCTGTGAAACTATTGAATCTATTGAAAATCTACATTAGCAACCCCTTTGACGAGACTGCTTTGGAAGTGAGGCAAAATATTTCCTCAGCAAATTACTTGATTCCTGCGCTTCAATTCAATTTAGAAGGACATTTTCTGTGCATATTTCAGCGTGTCCGCCGTGCAATTAGTGGAAATATTTGTAGTACGGCTTTGCCTTTACTCACTCGATGTCCGTGAATTAATTGAAAAGGCAGCAATCTGAATAATGTGCTCTCATCTCTGAACATCGTGCAAATGGGTTTTCTTGTGAAAGTTGCGTACACACGTGTGAATATTTTGGAATTGACGCTCCGTTGGGCACATACAATGCCGGCGAACGGCTCGAATTACCTGCGTTTGAAAAGAGATTCTGGATGAGGTGGCAAGTGTAAAATGGGGAAAACTTTGAAATGAATTTCCAGCGGAGTTTATCTGTGTGCCGGAGAAGTTTTCTTGGAGTGAGAAAATCTCACCCTTGCTGAGCTGTGCCAGGTCATACTATAACCGCTGTGAGCGGCTTTATCGTTTCACTTGGATGCACAAAAGAGTAGCGCCCCTTCCTCACCTGTCGGCCAGATTCTGTTCCGGTCCATCTCCCTGCGAGCACGCATAAATTTACTTCTTCGACCAATTTTAATTGAATCCCACACCCAAAAGCGTGTCACAATCGAAAGGGAAATCCTATTCATCTGGCTTTAGTCAAAGAGCCGCAGCTCCTAAGCCATGCCAAACCCCCATTCGGGTCACTTTCAAACTTTCCCCGCACACACACACAAACTATTTCAGGCTGCCAGTCACTAAATCCACCGCAAGCGCTCCACCTTCTTCGCCAATCAACGTATTTCCCACTGTTTTCCCGGACATTCTGCATCGGATTTTCGGCGGAGCCAGAAGAAAAGCGTGAAATATCTCAGAATGGATTAGTATAGGAAATTCCAATTACACTCCAAATAATTCTCCGCACAACACATATTAAATCCTTACGTCACTTTGAGGAACACGTGACGAAATATTCTAATAAACTTTGGGTTTGTAGAATTGTCGAAAATTCATTTGCAGATAGAGCGAGAAGCCAGGGCATTAAGTGATTTTCCTCAGACGATAAACAATGAACTGAGCTTGTAGCTTGAAAAGCTGAGAAAGTCTCTGGCCGGGAAAAGCACCGATTCTGAGGGGGTGGGAAAATGGGGAGAATGTCGGTCACACATGGTGCTTTGTAGAACAAAGCGGTGCTCAGGAGCGTCGCCATGAGGCGACGACGAGTGACGCTGCTTCTGCTTGAGTTGATCCTGGCGGTGGCCTTGGCCGCGGCCCGCGGCCCCCCGCCGCCCATCCTGCGGCCGCGCGAGGGCGACCCCTTCGACAGCCTGCCGAAGAGCTTCTGGCAGGAGTTCTCGTCGCCCTTCACGGACTCCCCGGACGGCGGCGACACGGACGACAGCGCGGAGTCGCTGGAGACCACCACGCGCGAGCCGCAGCCCTTCTTCGAGGAGCCCGCGGCCGCGGCCAACGTCACCACGCAGCTCGGCAGCCACGTGCATCTGCACTGCCGCGTGAACGACCTGCGGGAGAAAACGGTGAGAAGCGCTTCGCGCGCGCTGTCCAACAGCTGACAGACCATTGCTCCGCAGGTCTCGTGGGTGCGCCGGAAAGAGGACCAGCTGCAGCTCATCACCTTCGGCCGCCACACCTACAGCAGCGACTCGCGCTACCAGCTCGAGTACCTGGCGCCCAACGACTGGCAGCTCCTCATCCAGTTCGCCAACGAGCGCGACGAGGGCCACTACGAGTGCCAGGTGTCCTCGCACCCGCCGCTCGTCTTCCTCGTGCACCTCACCGTCGTGGGTAAGTGCCCGCCCCCAGCCCCAACCCTCGCCTCACCCCCGCTCTCCCTCTCGCAGTGCCGCGCGTCGAGATCGTGGACGAGCGCGGCGGCGCCGGCGCCGACAAGTTCTACAAGGCGGGCAGCACGATCGAGCTCAAGTGCGTGATCAGCAAGGTGCCGCAGCCCACGACCTACGTCACGTGGAAGCACGGCCAGCGGATGCTCAACTACGACACCAGCCGCGGCGGCATCAGGTACAATTCGCGCCCTTTCGCGCCTCGCCGCGAGCTCACTTTCTAACGGCCGCTTTTCCCGCAGCGTCAAGACTGACCTGAAGCCCGGCGGAGCTGTGAGCCGACTCTACATCGCCAACGCCAATCGATACGATTCCGGCAACTACACCTGCTCACTGGCCGACGTCGCCGCGACCACAGTCACCGTCCACGTGCTCAATGGTTAGTCAATTTCTCTCTATTCCAATTCTCTGCCTTTTCAGTGGGAAATTCACTGGAAAACATCAATAGATTACTTCAAGAGCATGAGCTGTTTTCTGAGCCTTCTTTTGGAGTTTTTGAGTGGCTTTCATTTCGTTCTCAGGTGAGAATCCTGCCGCGATGCAACACGGCTGTTCCACAACTTGGCCTCCGCTCGTCTCGACAATGGTTTTCGCGTTCGCTTCCAATCTGATTTTCGTATATCGGTGACAGCTATGGTTGTGCGGGAGCAATATTGTGTAAATTCCTATTTGCAGTGAAGCAAGAGACCATTGTATCAGTGAATGAAGTCCTCAAGAGTCTCCGTATGGTGAGATGTGCACGTCAAATTCAAGAGACAGCTTAACTCAAAGCTTAAAGTGACTTTGAACTTTAAATATTGCGTGGATATGAAGGAACTTTGTGGGGGGAAGAAAAAGGAGATGGAATATCAGATACGTAAACTAGTGATACGGAGGAATGTAAAGTTGATGTTTGAAAGGTAAATTAACAGTGTGTGTACTATCTCGAATTATCTTGGAGAATTAAATGTTGATAGAGTCAAACAGCAGTGAATTGTCTTTGTGTCGACGCCTCTTTTCGCCGACGAATTCGGGCAACTTTCCAATATCATCTGAGCAGAAGCTGGCCGCTGGGACCGACCATTCTCCCCCCGGGGGAGCGGAGCTTCATAAGTTCTTGGGTGAATCAACAACATTCCGAGTGACTGCTTCGCAGGGAGAGTCGAACAAAGTGGCGAGTATGAAGTTTACCATGAGAACTTTCCACTGTGCGGCGGGAGAAAACATACGAGATTTGGGGCGTCGTGCGTCGGCCGGCAGTGTTTGAAATCCCATTCGGATCGTTTATCTGAATTTAGTTGCTATAGTTTTGTTTCTCTCGTTGTGCCACAAAGTTATGCCAAAAATTTCCTTCAAATCCACCCAAAAATTTAGCACACTTTGATACTGTCGAGATGAAAAAATATGGCATGAGAAAATGCTGCGTGAGCTTTTTTTTCTCAGGCTCACATCGTATTATACATATGTATGGCGATGGTAAGCCGTGGAGAATGAACTATGAGATTGCGGAATATGATATATTTTCGCATAATGCCACACCATTTTGGGCCTCACGCCCTTTTCCCCACGATCATCACGAGTTGCAGTTTGTCTTGAGTGTTGTGCGTCTTTTTCTCTGAATAAACATTAAGCAGAATTGCGCTTTGAGGGATGGAAAAACTATCCCGCAGAAGCAAAAGAGTTTTACACAAAGGGCTTGCCAATCTGGGTTTTGAGTGTTATAAGAAAGAAGAATAGGTCAGGAATAACACTTTCGAACTTGTAAAAAACGGACTGCAGCAAATTTAGGCATTTTCTCAATTATTTCGCGTAGAAAAATCTAATTTTATTGCATTTCTAGATCATGTGATTGATTAAGGGCAGATTCTGATGCTCAAAATCATCTAATCTGTGTTTAAATTGTGAATATTTCTTTCTTTCTTGGCACAAAATTAAGAATTTGTGTTGCAAAAACTTCAGGTTAATTAAATTATAGTCATAAATCAACTTAAAAGCCCAATAATGACATTAAAAATGTAATTTCAGCCTAGAAAAATGTCTATTTGCTTAGGTTTTTCCGCACTTTGTGCTTTAAAGTGGCAAATTAAGCCTCAAATATTTACAAATTTCCACGTTTGAAAGTATTAAAAATATGCCAAAAAGGATTTTTTCTTCAGTCAGAAGTTTCCTTAGCATTTACCAAAGATAAAACTGAGAAAATGAAGACAGAAATCTAAGATTTTTAAGTGTTTTACCATCTTGAGACGTAAAAATAACCTAGATTAGACTGAAAAATGTGTAAAATTGTGTTATTCTTTATTTAGGTTATTTCTGGAATAACTGCAATGAATTCATGTGTTTTTACGAGGGTTTTCAGTTAGAATTATTCTCCAATTATTCCACTTATTCAACGAATTTTTCCAACATTAGCAAAACCCCTTGGTTCTGAGGGAGGGAAAAACTATCCGTAGAAGCGAAGAAAGAGTTTCGCAAAGAGGCGCGCTTTCTTCGACTCGGCGATGGGATTTTCTGCACAGCCCCCGGAATTGTGTGATTTGGAGACTGTTGTGCAGTAAATTCCTGTGGATAATTCTGAAGGGTGAATCACTCGATATGAGTCCACCCCCGCCTCTCCCACTCGAAGCGAATGGGATGGACGAGTAAATCGTTTTTCGCAGAGGAAAATTTATGTGGTAGCGCTTTTGGGCCGACGCCCACGTCCCCCCACTTGAGATAATGATAGTTCATCAGACACAAGAGCCAACAGGGGGCGGACGGTGGAATAAAAATAAAACGGAAACAGCGTTCTGGAATGAATTGCGGCTGTTCAATTACCAACAAGGACTCCTAACCACTTTTTTCTGGTTCCTCTTGCCCAAAATTCTCCGCCGCAGCCAAACAGTGAAATTTCCTCTCCTTCGCATCCGACATTCTCTGTGGCATTTTCATTTCTCTTCTTCCACTCATTTTCCACTCCTCTCCGCCCTTGTCCTCTCCATCTGGACTTCTTCACGCCGCCACCATATTTGCGGCTACTCCTTGTTTCGCCTAGCACAACTAGAACACACACAAAACCATGTTTCTGCTTGCCAAGAAAATGTGCGCTCTGACAAATTCTACCACGGAATATTTTCCCGTCATGTTAGCTTCTGCGTCTTTTCCCATTGTCATCAGCGAGGATTTTGAATTCTCCTCTTTTTTTCCCAGTTGTCAAGATGCCAAATTAGGAATATATATATAGGAGAAAACAGAAAACATTCTAAATCTAATTTAATTACCATGTAAAACATCTCAGGAAATTGCTGCTGTGTTTGTAACTCTGACGAGTCTCTCGATGATGAAACAGAAATAGAATACAAAAGCAATCGGAATTGTTTTCAATTGTAAGAAGTGTTTTCCATCTCCAGAAATAACAGGTAATTTACAGCAACAATCTGTATTAATACGCCTTCAGTGCTTATTTCGAAGAGTGAATTGAAAACTATGCAAAGTCGATTTATGATAGTTTTTGTCTTATGTATTCTTGAAAAGCTCTTTATCTGTTCTTCCTGTAAAAAATTTCGAGATTTGTATCTTATAAGGCAATAGTAAAGAATACTTATTTATCTGAAAAGCACAAATGGAAAAAATTGTCATGTTTTCTGAATGAAAAGTGGAATGAAAACGCATCAAACACTTTTTGAGAAAATAATTATAGATTTTCAGAATTATCCTAAAATGTCTTTTAGACTTTGAGCGAATATTTCTGATATTTTTTAAATTTTGTCACTTGACAACTTCAAAGAAATGTTCAAATCAAGTATGAAAAGTTAATTTTTGAGAACTTATTTGGATAAAATTCGATCTTGGAGTGTAATACTTTCAGATTTTCTATTAATTTTGCCGTATTTTAGTCAAAAATTTCAATAAATATCAATAAAATCAATTAAAATATTTACAAAATAACAAATACAGAGCAATATTTGTACTTTAACGGACGATTTGAAGGCGTTTTGAGTGTTTTGAAGTTAATTTGGAAAATTTCACAGCAATATTGAAGCTAATTTTTCAAGTCGCTGTGGTGAAAAATTGCGATTTTGGCTTTTCATAGTTTTCTATTCACCCGTCGAAACAGAACAGGTAAGAAAAAATCGGCTTTCCATAGATTAGATTAGATTAAGAGAGGATAATATCCGATGACTATGAAATATGCTTTAATTTTTCTACAAGCAAAACAATGTGAAGCATTTTCCAAGGTTGAAAACACAAGAAAACACTCCAATGAGTCCTTTTTGCAGAAAAATCAACCACGCAATATTGGGTGAAATTAGAGAGTTGGTCGAAGAAGTTTATATGTTTTTGTAAATAATTGCAATTGAATTTGGCCCAAGGCGGGAAACTTGGTGGAATTCTTTCAGATTTACCTTCAGCTCGGCAAATTTCCCTCACATATTCGAGCACCCAAATGAACTTTCCAATATAAGGGAGAGAAAAGCCCCTGACAAGGGACACAAAATATGCGTGTGGAACTTTCGAATGCCTGCAGCGCTTCGTTTTTCTTGTTTCTTCTTGTGCAGGAGGAAAAGCGGAGGAAAAAAAAATTAAACACGAGAACAAGAGTGAAGAGAAAGCGCAAGAAGAAATAAGGGAATTTTTTTTCCAGCTGTAAATGAGATTGCTTATTATCGTTGGATATTTTACATACGTAGACATTTCTGGAGTTGTCTCGTGTGTTGCTATGCGTTGGTCGTAAATTTGGGTGGCAAAACTAAAAGACCTTTCGTGGAACACATTTTAGCTCGCTCTGGATATACAGTAGCGAAAATTAGGTTAGCACACCTGTGAAATTAAGGCCATTTTTACTTTTGGTGCTAAAAATTCCATATTTTCATTGATTCATCAAAATTGTCCAGAAATTTCACTCAACGATGCACAAAACAAACTTTACACAAAACCAAGATCACTAAAGTGTTCTCTAAGGCACGCAAAGAAGCAAAGTCTTCAGTATTTCATTGATTGGTTGTTAGTTTAGTGAATTTTAGTTTTTCGGAATATCTTTGTGTGCAATAATCGCTACAGTTCTAGATTTTGAGGCATTTCATAAGCACCATTTACCACATTTTGGAACCCTTGAATGCTAAACGACATGCAAACGCAATTAGAACCATTTTCCTGCCATGCATCGATAAGAAATTACCGATTTTCTAGACGATAAGAAATTGACTAAAAATCACACTTTCTTAAGGGCAAAATGCTGTAATTTTCACGACTACATGATTGTTCTTGAACGATTAACTTAACCTCCTATTCTAAACTTCATTGAAAACTTATGAACAGGATTTGGGCCGCGATTGAGCGGAAGAAATGGTATAAAAGCGTTAAATGATAGCTGAAAACATACAAAGAGCAATTTAACAAGTCCAAATCAAGTTCTATAATGTAAATGTCTTCTAAACATTCCAAACTCATGATTTAATGTGATTATCTGAGACAGTTTTATGATTATAACAAGGATTCAGAGCAAAATAAGCAATTTCTTAACTTAATTTTCTCTGTTCTTTTTCGCACATTTCTCTGCATTTTGCAATATCTCGGCTGCGAATTGAGATATTGCCATAATCTCAACGCAATTTGAAAGATCATTAAATTCTAATTCTTTCTTGTCTTAATGAAATTGTCTCGAAAATTGAGAGAAATACCGGATTTTCAGCACCAAAAGGAAAATTGGCCTAACCTTCATAGGTGTCTTAACCTAATTTTCGCTACTGTATAATGCAAGTGTGAGGAAAATTTTGAGCACAGAAAAGGTCCGTGTGGGTCTGCATATATGGGAATGGTGAGAAGAGCGATGGAGGAAAAAAAAAGTGTGTGAGACACTGAAAGGATATTTGAGATGTCATTGGAATTCCATTCTGTCGGGAAAAATATTTAATTAAAGTGTCTACAAGTGAATTGCACTCGCACATTTCTATCCCGAATACATGGGCTGAAAGCTGAGAAAGTCAGTACGCAGACAATATCCTTG